TAAACCAGACACCCCGGATGCTCAAATCACATTCAGTCTGAACGCAGCATAAGAATCTGAACCAYCATCTTATTAGTTCTTGTTGGTAGACGGTACTACTTTGATGGGCAGAGACTGTGTTAGTATCATAGGTACAAAGAATGGTTTAATGTTGTAAGTTTGAGTTTGATTGTTATCTCTTAATTTCATTGCAACCAAAACACCTACTGCTTACACTGAATAAATGTAGAGCTTGTCTTTAGTTGACTGATGAAATGTGTGGCTTTGAATGATTTGTAATTTGCTTCTAGCTGTAAAAAAATGTAATGAACAGATTTTTGAGATCTTATCATTCAGGCTCAAAAATGTTTAGTGCAATGACACRGAGGCATCTGCACTTTGTATATAATAAGAAAGGTCTTCACTTACGTAAAACTTTTTATTTAAAGTTTCTGCAGAAGTTATTTATGGAACATTGTCTCATTTCACCATTATCTCCCAGCTTTCATCAAAACTTAAGTAGCATCAAAACAGACTATTTTTTACAATAACTTATAATTGTACTGATCTTAGAATTGCTGAGTCTTTGTAAATGAATGAAWTTATTTTTACATCTGTTCTCTGCATATTTGGTGTATTTTATTGTCCAGCTGCTGTAATATGTGTGACTGACCTGGTAAGGACATRATTTTTATGAAAGAAATGCTGCTATCATTTTTTATGTGCCAAGATTGTTGAGGTCATTTCCTGATCACCTTGTGTTGTGACCCTGTTGTCCTTGTTTCTTCTCACCTACTTTTCTTCTACAGTTCCCAGAATACCTTTCAGCAGCAAGCACCCCTTATTTGGTCTCGGAAGAGTTTGGCAAACAAATAAATATAATGAACTGTTGTACATAGGACAGGACTCAGCCTGAGCTCTGCTCCAATGACAGAAAGTCTCCTTAGACTTAAAGGGTTAAATGWTCCAAACTATAACAGGTTTACAGTCAAACCAGTGAAATCTAGAAGGAGGACATGTCCTCCAATTTCTGAGAATGTTCAAAGTGACATTAGAATGAACTTGTTAAAATGCAATCAGCTGCTGGTGCAGTGTTTTATAGATCGGACAACAATAATCTATAAAGAATGCAATCATCATCCCTGKACACACTTTGTTGTCACTTTTCTACAGATACACTGTACAGTCCTCTCAGCGGCTGTTGCTGGGGACTCAAGGGCATTGTCAGCTTTATCAGCTCACAGTGATTCATCAGGCTAGTTGGTAAATAAGAGATGCTATCAGCTGCTCTGGGCTGCATTGAAGACTCTTGTCCTAATCAATAACTTTCCAATTCTTCACCGATCTCCGCTTCTGATTAGTTGGGCAAAACCAATACACACTGTTGCTGAGCSAGGACAAAGCCTTCCCATTAAGACCACCCTTATCTGGGGTTTTACAGATAGGTGTGCCTACACTCGGGACKATGAGGACAACCCAGGGCTCTAGAAAAAAAGCAGCCCCACACATCTCTAACAAGTAGTAACCAGAACGGGATGTGTTGATCTAAAACATAATTTTCATCAGACATGAATGGAAATRGGAGAAAGCAAAGTAAAAGACAAGAGGGTAGATGTGCTGTCAGTCAGAGAGGAGCTGCAATGGCAGCAAACACTTACTGATGTGGGAATGATGATAAATACGCTAAGACTAATGGGAGTTTGTGATGAAGAAATATGCATTCATTTTCTCTTCAAAATGATCAAAGATGAGCACAGCTAAAAATAAGCCATATTTAATATCCAGATAGGAATATAACAGTCAGGGGAAAAGAAAGTGCAGGTTTTACCTATAAGGAAAACTGATCTAATCTTTATCAAATTATTCAAGCACATCCTCAAGAGAAAAGAAAGCACACAACAGATCTCACTATGTTGTTATTTATTTCAATAAAACTATGCCACAATAGAAAAGCTGTGAGTGGCAAACTGAGTCCAGATTTGCTGTTTCTACAGAGTTTAAAAGGGAAAAAAGGCAGCCAGTAAAACATACTGATTAACTTCAGGGTCGAAGGAAATTGGTGTTTGGTTGAGAACTTGTTGTAACAATGCTTTTTGCCAATCAATCCTATTTATTTAAACTTAAATGGAGACCCATTTTTTAGGAAATGTATTTATGGTTTAAGCAGCAGAATTAAATATGTGMTTTGTCTGCACATTAAGGTAAAGACTGGTTCACCCCAAGGATCTGATCCCCATGCACAAACAGAGCAATGTTGTGTATGCTGTTAAGTGCCAGGAGGACTGTGTCCAGTGTGTCCAAACAAATGTGGTTCTCTCCAGGAGGAAAGTGACACAAGTACCACCTTTCATCTGTCAAGCAATCCAAGAACAAATCCACAGTCTGCTGACATCAAAATCCTAACTGTGCTGTACTTGCTTCCACCCACTTAGAACCACCAGAGAGGAGGTTCAGACCAGACCTGGGAGACCTACAGAAGGGCTTAGTTCTTAGTTCCTGGTTTTCAGGTGGTGCCCTGCGATTAATGATTTAAATGTCTTTAGTTATTTATTAATGCTCACTAATATCTAAGTTAGCTCCTACAACTCAGCTTGTTTATCTTTCAATAATATCTCCAATAAAGCTGAGTCAGGATGCAGGCTGTGAACCCACCATAAACACATCTCTATTTTAAACTTTTCCTCTGKACATACAACAGCCATATTTGAAATTCTAAAGTTTTATTTGCCATTATCAAGCTCACAGCAATTTCACAGCACAGCAGTCACATCATAATGAACTTCCAGAAGTAATTAAAGCTTCCTTCCTGTGGAGGGGCCTTCATGAATACAAGAACAACTGCCTGTAATCACGCAGCATTCCAGCTGAGGTGTCACATCGGCTGACTTGTTTGGCAGAAATGCCTTCAGCAGTGAGGTCTTCTAATCAGGACGCTTCCACTGACGAAAACTAATGAGACGTAATTGGTTTGGCACACCACTGCTTCTCTCAGACTTCACATCCTAAACTCCTATCAGATGAAGGGAAACATGGTTAAAGGACATGTTAGGATTCTAATGTACCTTCTTTTAAAGGTGGAACCTCTCTGAGCTGCAGCTTCATGAGGGGGTCTCCAAAATGTCTTGCAGCCATTCCAGTGGTCCATAAAGAAATATGGCTTTTTACAGATATTAAACTGAAGCTTGGTGTGGTAGCTGAGAGGCATTCAAAATTTACTCCAAGTGATCACATAATCTTGCATTAAATTCTACATATTGATCTTTAAGTCAAGGTTATCTTAGTTTAAATCTGTCTTGAAAGTTGGTTGATATACATTTCTGCAAAAAATGCCAGGCCTTTAATTTGAAATTATTTGACCACAAATGATTAAAATATAGTATACTGTTATATAATATATAGGAATGTTGTGTTTAGTCATATAAAGTTTATTTAGTCAGTTGTTCAGTCTAAAGACATTAACATTAAGGCTGCCCTCATAAAGGCCTCTGTGTTCTCAGTGGGATTTACCTATTTAAATAAAGATGAAATAAAAGGTATTTTTAAAAGGTCAAAGAAATATAAACGAACAAAAATAGATCCAGGAACAGTGAAACTACTATTTTATTATTATTTTTAAAGTTGGTCTGTTAAAWTTTTCCTGAATCATTTTGTCAGAAATGGGATGAGTATCAAGTATAATCCAGTTTAAAGCATTAGCTAAAGCAGACAGGAAGTTTAGTTGTTGCTTTCAGATTCATGCGTCACGTAAAACTGCTGGTCTACTGGATAAGGAATGAAAAGCTGTGTTTGTTTTGAGAGACAGCTGTTGTGAMAGCAGGATCCTGCCTCACATGGAGCTTAAAACAAACAGTCTGAACAGAGATCACTGCAGCTGCTGAAGCACTCCCAGCTTCTGCTACGTTTACACCAAACGCGTTGCGCGCCTCCAAAAATCTCAAAATGCACGCATCTCGATGCTGGTGTCCAGTGAGGACAYACYCATTCGATGTGAARGTAGACGTGCTTCTTRAGACGCTCGAGGGGAGAAGCCTTTTAAACCATAGTTTCGATAACGTATCAGACATGCCGACTTCCTCACTAATCGTCCTCCAGGTAAAGTCCTTTTTATTTCTATCATGATAAAGGACACTGGAATGATCATAAATGATCGGACTATCAGTTTMTCTTCCATTGTTTGTGTGATCTGATTTCCCGGGCTTCCAGTATTTCCATCTCGTCACCAATACMTCACTGAGCAGAGTCTCTCTGGTTGGTTGATGTGACGCAGGGAGCAGCAAAAGTTCAGATTTTCCAACTCGAGTGTCGGATGCTTTGGACGTGCCGCACCCATGGAAAATGCACATGACATGTGAACTGCTTCGAACTGCGCTGCTCYAAATGCGCCAGACGCACTGCTCGGCTTCTAGACGCCCCTAGATGCGCATCCACCATTGACTTTTCATGTAAACCAGATGCTCCTGATGCTCAAAACGCATTTGGTGTGAATGTAGCATAACAGTTTGTTTAAGTAGCTGTGGTCAAAACCTGGAGTTCTCTCTGTAGAGAAACAAAAACACTGCAAATCTTTATCAGCTTGGATTTATTTTAAGGAAGAAGAACAGAAGTCTCACACCTTAGAACGTTTTATGGGACTCTGTGCTGGTAAATGATGTGTTAGCAGAGAGTTAGCACATTTTCTAGCTCAGTGAATGTTTCATTGCGATACCCATTGCTGCTCACACCCCAGTAACATCAAGCATCACTAAGATTTGCTTTCATTTGTAACATGTGTTTTAAAGTGTTCTTTGTGGAGGGAGATGCAGAGATGCACTGAGGGCCTGTCAACCGGCTGAAACAGCAGCAAACACTTCCTGGTTTGTTCCTACAATGTCTCAACTTCCCCTCTCTGAAAGCTGATCCACACATCCAAACTACACCAGTTTAGTTCCAGTAAGAACTCGGTGATTTTCTCTGTCATCACCTGCAACCAGCTCAAATGACCTAAAACAGGAACAAACGATGGCTTCCATGTCTCGTCTCACCTGTGTTCAGCTCCTTGTACTCCTGGGACCAGTGTTCGTTCTGGTGTACCCATTCCCCGTTGCATTTGAAGAAGATTTGTAAGGCGGGCGTGGCACGACAGCGCAGCTTGATGGGGTGGCTTTTGACGATGTAAGCGTCCTCCGGTTCCTGGATGAAGTGTGGCAGGGTGCTCTGCACCGAGGGCAGGACATCAGACTGAGCTGCAGCGGCACCTGCACACAAAACACTCAGTTACTCCTCAACAACCGGCTGGATTCACAGATTACAAATTCATCTTCTTCTTCCTTCACAGTGAAAGACAAGATTTCCAACATTAAAAGAGTCAGAACACGGGTGGTCCCTGCAAGTTCTTGGTGATGCTCAGATTCACCATCATCATGCATCATGGAGTTACAGGCATTTTCCACAAACAAAATATTGTGTCTCCACACATGACTGGAGCACCTAATCTATACACTCTTCACCACATACAGTTGTCTTTGTTACTTTCAACACAAACATCATGAAGGTCAGGCCAGAAAACAGTTAAAAGTGTTTCTGCACTGAAAACCCAGTTCATGCTGCTGCTGGGGTTTCCTCTCCAAAGGGATGCAGAAACCTCCCAGACCCAGAATGTAGATCAGGTCTACAAACAGTCAACAGGTTGTGGAAACGAGCAGACATGATATCTGATATCTGTAACAGCAGCATGGTTTCAGCTCGGACCCATTATCTAATGTGTGTGACAGCATATAAGAGGCGTGGTGAGAGTGCAGTGGAGTGTTGAGAACAGAGAATATATTAAAACATAAAACATGGTGAGAACTAGGAGCAAAGCAGCACCACGACTGCCTTCACACCGACACTTTCATCCAGACATCACACTGACAGCAGCAACTGCTGAGCTCACCGCTAAACCCTGCAGTGAAACCTCCTGTTCCACAGCAGATAACCACGGTGTTCACATCAAAACACAGGCAGAGTTTTCCAAACTCTGAGTGGAGGAACAGAGAGCTCCTGGTTTGCCTGCACTGCTGCTGTCCTCCACAATATTGCCTCTGTGTGACTTAAAATTAATAAACTACAAGAAAAAAGAATCAAGTACTGTCCCTTATGAAGAGAAAATAGCTGTAGCAGCAGGTGTGTGTGTGTGTGTGTGTGTGTGTGTGTGTGTGTGTGTGTGTGTGTGT